GAGAGAGAGAGAGAGAGAGAGAGAGAGAGAGAGAGAGAGAGAGAGAGAGAGAGAGAGAGATTGGAGCCTGGTGGCATCCAAATGAAGTGAGAAATATTTACCAACTACTAAGCTGGCCTCTCCTGAGTACCACCCGACCGGCCACCAACCAGGCTCCCTCTCCTCTGAGCTGTCCAACCCTCGCCACAATCCAGTGGCTCAGATGAGAAGGCCGCGTGACCATACTCAGGCCCAAGCCTGCAATCATGTGGTCTGGGTGCCTACTAAGGTCCAGGCCCTACCACAGGCCCTACCACACTGTCTCAGCCGGAGGGCCTGGAATCAAAATGGCCTGGCACAAAAAGTCGGACAGAGGTCCAGCCTAAAAAATGAGCTGGGCCAGAACGTGAAACTGGAATTGAAAGCAAAGCAAACTGAATAGACTGGACTGAGAACAGGCAAAACACACTCACGCCTGGACTCCGGACAGACAAAATAGATACACGCCAATCTGGGACCCCACTCTCCAACGACCTCAAATTCGACCGGGGGGATCTTGGCAGAAGTCTGGGCTGCCAAGGGCCGCCCCTAGGATATTGCCACGCCCCTAGCCCAGTGTGGGAGGCCCTCAGCATGCCACACTGCGCCAGATGCAGCAGACCCGGGGGCAGATACTCGATGGTTCTGGGCCTGTCTCTTATACACATCTAGATGTGTATAAGAGACAGCCCCTAGGATATTGCCACGCCCCTAGCCCAGTGTGGGAGGCCCTCAGCATGCCACACTGCGCCAGATGCAGCAGACCCGGGGGCAGATACTCGATGGTTCTGGGCTGGGAAAATCTTTGCAAGGGGGAGAGGGGGCACTTGGTAAGCCTACATGTTCACAAAATCATCAAAATGCCGTCATTTCTCCTCTCTTTTTTTCGCCAAAGTTTCACTGTTGTGGAGGCATGGCTGCCCATTTGGGAATAAAAAGTTAAAAACACCCAAACCTGATGTTTCTTGTTGTTGTTGTCATCCTGACCTGGTAATTGTCTCCGCCCCCACCCCCCTGACTCCTGCCTCTTCCCTTTCTCCCACTGTCCTTGTGCACATGCCTGTGGTGGTCCTGGCATTCTACCTCTATTTTTTGGTGACCACTTCTTTCCTCTCCTAGTTTAGCCCTCACCCTTCTCTCATCCTCCCAGTCCAATTCCTTCTACCTCCTCCTGCCACCCTCCTTGGCCTGCTGGTAAATGTCTTTCCCTCTCCTCCTTCTCATCTCTGGTTTCTGGGTTCAGGGTGACCATGCTTTACACTTCATAACACAGCTGCTGATTTATGGTTTGCGCAGAAAAGATTGTTGTGGCTTGTATTCTTGAGAACATGCTTCGAGCTTTGGTTTGAACTTTGAACGGAGTCATAAATTGATTGTGCGCTGTAACGAGCGTGAGACTGAGGGTGAGCCGAGGGAGAGGAGAGAGAGGGAGAGAGTGAGAGCACACACACACACTCACTAACTCGACACGACTGACTGGGACTGAGGATCGGACGCAGACACAGTGGCAAGGCACAAAGTCCAAGTCTTGGATTCCGAATGCCGAAACAGCAAGTCACACTGAGTACGAGTACAGCAGCAGGGAACTGGTACGAGACTGGCCCCCCTCGTACCGTACGGGGAGCCGGTATAAGTACCGGTGACACGTGCGGTACCAGGGGCATTTCTGCAAAGGCCCCGAGGGCAGAACTGAAAAATGCAGTATTTGAAAGTGGCACCCGAATTGCAGCATGGCGCCAGTTGTCCAAAATCCTACGGTACCAAAGGAGGGGTTTGGAAAAAGGGGTGCCAGGCTGAGAACGGGATGCAGCCAAAACAGCAAAAGATAGACCAGGGATCGAGCCCTGGCGTGCGCAATGTGCGGCTGACTGTCATTAATTCCAAGTTCCAGCGGCAGACCTAAGGGTTCACCTTGGTTCGCGTTTTGCCTGATAGTTCATAAGAAGGTTCAGAGTCCAAGTTACTAACTCAACAAAATTGGGCCCCTGGCTGCAGTCGAGGGGGACCTTTGGCTCTCTGTCTCCCTCCATTTTGTGTTTGTGTCAATTTTCAAAAAGAAGAAAAGAAAATGAGGTAAAAAATAAAAAAAAACAACAGCTGCTAATATTTAGACACAGCAACCCAGTCTGCCTCTTTTGCTAAGTCATGTCTCTTGGTACAAAAGCTGCACCTGGTTCCTAACCCACGGTCCAGAGCAAGGTTGGGAAAATGTACAGTTACCTGATAGTACATGGACAATGCATGTGTGTGTGTGTGTGTGTGTCCATGTGTGTTCGTGTGCTGTGCGTGCATGCGTGTGTATGTGTGTGTGCGTGCACGCGTGTTATGCGTGTGTGTGTGTGGGGGGGGGAGGGGGGGGGGGGGGGGGGGGGGGGGGGGGGGGGGGGGTTGTGCATTGATGGCCGTGTGTGGTGTGCGTACGTGGGATGGTGTGAGTTCGTGTCGCACATGCAAATTCCGGTGCGTGTCAGTGCCTCAGAGACACGGCTGGGGGGAAATGGAAAGCAAAAAAAGACACACATGCCCTGGCCTCATGTGCCATAGAAGAAGTGGAAATTGGGCCATTGCTTACAAGCCTGGAAAAAACACCAAAACATGGGATAAAAAAAAAGAGGAGGATGCCTGCAACCTTGCACGCCTAACAGAAAACGCAAAAAAAGGTGCTCACATCATGTCCTTGCATGCCTGGAGAAAAGCAGCAACCAGGACGTCCTGGGTGCCTGAAAACGAAACCAGGAAACAAAATGTGGCACACCGCCAAAAGCAAGACCAAGAAAAAAAAAAAGCGATGCCCTGCCGCACCTTTCGTGGACAAAACAAAGGAAAGCCCAACAGCGGGCCTACAGGGCAGCCTGGGTGCCCAGTACCCCTTGGGCCTGCAGCGGGCCACGTGAGGTCCAGCCTGCATCTTCCTTGAGTTTTAGAGACAGATCGATAACATACAGCTTGTTATTGACTTAGTAAAAACCTTCTTGTGGCTGCATCGAGGTACAGAGAGAGGGAACTGTTTGCCAGATTGTTTGAGCTGATAGCCAGGTGCACAGGCATCGTTGTTCTGGTTACATGTCGAAGGGGTTTTGAGAACAAATGTAAACACAGAATGAAAGCACAGAATAGAAATGACAAGGGGCATATTGTACTGTCCACTGTTATCCACTGTTATCCACTGTTGCCCACTGTTATCCATTGTTATGCACTGTTATCCTCACACTGTTATCTATGTTATCTATGTTATCTATGTTATCCATGTTATCTATGTTATCAACTATTAATAGTCTATTATCCAATGTCCTCTTATATGTTCTGTTATCCACTGTTTCAGGCTGGAGTATGCTTTTGAATCAGCAGACGAGTTCTATAGACATGTGATGGAAGATGTGGGTGGCTCTTCTTGGGAGGAATCCATTTCTGCTGAGGTAGAGGAGAATCCTTATGAAGTACTAGGGCTTGGGAAGAATGCTTCACAGGAACAGGTAAGTTACATTTGCAGCTGTAACCACGCTGGGACTTACGAAGAATACCTCACAGGAACAGTTTTCTTTTTTCTTTTTCCACTTTCCTTTTTTTTTTTTTTTTTTTTTTCCCCCTGGAAGAACGTTTTAATTTTTGGACTTGACCAACCAAATCAACGGTTCTTATGGAGTATGTTTCCCACTGGTAATAATGTGCGAAGCATGTGGCCCTCGGCCTTGTCAGGAAAGGCACGCGCCCTCTGGAAAAGGGGCCTGCACCTGCCCGAAGTGAAGGCGTGCCTGAAAAAAATTGACAAGGCCCAATTTGTGGCCGACGCGAGTAGAGAAAGGGCCCCATTGGTTGATTGCTGCACACGGCATCTTCAACCAACCGGTAGGCCGATCGTTTGAAGATGCTGGAGGCCCAGGGCACTTATAGTTGAGCCCCAGGCATATTCTGGAAGGGCCCTGGGTGCAGCTACTGGGACAGAGGCCGCCCAGCCAGACAGGACAAAAGCAAGTGAGGCTCACTCACTTGTAACATCTGGCTGGCTGAATGGCAACAGGGTGCTGGCGGGGCACGAGCAAGACACTGTGAGGGCGCAGCGGGCAGAGTGCAGCAGCCATAGCTGGGCTGCTAGCACCATAGCCGAAAGAGGAAGGCGGAGGTTCTTGGGTGAGGGACTGTGCAAGGGGAGTCGAGTTTTGGGGGATGTGATCGGGCACTTACCTGGTGATGCTGGAGCAGACCGTGGTACTCAGAGTCTTCACTCGTCATTCGGCTGATTTCTTCATCGCAGACCTGTTGCAGATAGATGTCTAGGTCGATAGGAGCCGTCTGATTGTGGTCTGGGCGCCGAGCACCGTATCAGGAGAGCGACATTGTTCACATTGATGTTGGAGGCGAGAAGAGAGCTTTCATTATCATTTGACTTCAGTGCTTCGCTCTCTCGGATTTGGTGTTATCTTGTGGTGCAATCTGCTTTCAGTTCGGACCCAAAGTTGTCTGGATTTCTATGGAATGCTGCGATTTGGTGTATTGTCGTGCGCTTCGCTCATTTCCCTTGCACATGTGAAGGAATCAGTGAAAGAAACACAGTTGTGAATTGTTTTTACGACAGGTAAAATTATGAACTGTGTGATTGAATGAACCACTGCAGGAACCGCTGTGATGGATTGATTGTTTTTACCACAGAGGCTCACAGACTGAAATTAAAAGGGCCTTTACCCGATTCAGCCCCTGATCGACGAAATCAGCATATTGGGGTCCCTCGCTCAGAGCCTAATTCGTGAAAGCAGATCAAGAGACATGTTCTCTGAGTCAAAGGTCACATCCTGGCTAAAGTAAAGACAATGTCAAAGGTCATGGTTGGGCCCTGCATGAACAGTCACCATTTTTAGATTTAGAGGTCACATCTGCTCGCCAGGGGCAATACAAGTCATGTCTACTCAAACAAGGGATGTGTCTGTACGTGCAGTCAATGTGTCTGTTCATACAGGAAGAGTGTCTGTTCGTGCAGGAAGAGTGTCTGTTCGTGCACTGGGTGTGTCTGTCCAGCAGAAGTCAAAGAGTTGAGTTCCAGTCCGGATTCAAGTCAGAAAGGAAGTCTAGATTCAGATTGGGAGTCTGAAATCAAGGCCTGAAGGCCGCAGCAGCAGCAACCCCTGAAGGAAAGGGAACTGGGACACATACACAGAGGCTGGGACTGGGAAAGGACCAGGACAGGCAGAATTCAGGCCTCACCAGGGGAGGCCAGCACTATAAGAAACGAGGCCGCCTCCCCCACAGATAGATTCCCATAGGCATTGATGCGTGGAAGTGCTGAGGCACTTGTGCGCTATAGTGCTGGGAGAGGCGCTGGCTGAAGAGGGGCTGCGCCAGGAAGAAGGGAGGTTGGGCGCTGGCTGTAGGGAAGCCATAGCTGCGCTAGCCTATGTTAGTAGTAGAAGGGTTAGTAGGTAGGCATCAGTGAGTGACATTCAAAGTAGATCTTCGTAGGTGAGAGTGTGCATGCATAGTGGGGTAAGAGAACCAGGACAGAGTTCTGGAGAGAGAGAGAGAAGAGATCAAGAGAGAGAAGACAGGGAGTGAATCTGGATATGGTGGACACTTACCTGTTGGCGCCACACTTGTGATCAGAAGGAGGACGCTGGCTGAGCCAGGTCCCACGCTGTTGTATGACGAGGGAGACTTACCTCTTGTTGGCGCTGAACTCTGGAACTCATGATACTCTTTGTATTAAGTGACATTGATAATATAAGCTGCGCTACTTGGTTCTTATCTCCTCTCAATCTGGTTTTGTGTGAGACCACTTTGTACATGTGATGGCATGTATGCATGCGGTTTGATGCACTCGAGCAAGCTGTGAACAGTCAGGTTCCTTGCAAAATAGCTAATCGCATTTACCTTGAAGAACTTGGAGGGTAGGCAAAGAACTCCCCACCTGATTGTCAACGAGTTAGAATGTAAGGCCTTCAGAATCGGCCGTAAGGTTGAAGGTTCATACGTTTCTGCTATGAAGGGGAGTGGCAACTGATCCTCCATAGTAAAGGATTCAGATTTCAAACTCACTCCACCGCACTCTGACAGTGTGAGTCACAGAATCAAATTAGTTTTACCAAACACAATTGCCACCATGCAATATGGCAAAGTGATCACGTGCTGGAGTGTGTGCATTTGTGTTTGTGTATGTTGTCATGACCGCTATAAAAGTGTGTGTTGTAAACTGTCATCGCAATCTCTTTTGCACCCAGATGAGTAGATCCAAAATTGAAACAGCTTTACCTTAGAATCTTCTATAGCGGCTAGAGCCACAAGGGTGGCTGAAATCTCGTCTTGTCTGGCCATCTTCTCTTCTTGCAGCATTTCTTGTACAAACATGCTTGCCGGTGATGAGCGACCGGACTGACTCCCCCCAGAATAGATGGGGCATGAGTGTTTTTCTTAAAAAAGAAAAAAGAAAAAAGAAAAAACTTCAAAAAAGAAAAAAGAAAAAAGAAAAAAGAAAAAAAAAGGAATCTTCTGTAGCAAACAACATGAAGCACACTGAGACCGTTATATTGCCTTTTCCTTGTGCAGTTATCTTCACTTTTTTGTGGTTCTCCCCATTTACTGTACCTCTCACATGCGAGGTTTGCCTCATTGATTGTGGTTGAGCCTGAGCTGCCCACATCCTCATGTGCCATAACAGCCCACTTGCATGCTATGAAAAGGAGAGGTATATTTTGTCTGTTTTCTTTATGATGGTGTTTTCTTTTTAGTAGTTCTGCACACGTGGGGAGGGAGGAGGAAGAAAGGGAAGGGGAGGGAGGAGGAAGAAAGCGAAGGGGAGATAGGGTGAAGACGAAACAGAACAGGGGAAAGAGAACACAAACTTCACAGGGTTCTCAGTATTCACCTGCAGTGCAGACTTCTATAGAATGGCACAAGAGCCATTCAGTATTCGGGTTGCCGAGGAAACAAAGCTGACGAATGGGTGTTGCCTATGATAAATGGCCATCCCTGCAGACAGGATAGGACCAGTTAGTGTGTGGACTGTGGAAACACCACATCCAGTTCTCGCAGTTGCAGTTGCTACGTCCAATGGCACGGTGTAGACAGATACATGGCTGCCACATACAAGGAACAGAGGCATGCCTACTGCAATTGTGTTAGCCCCTGTCTAAAAATAGGACATTCTATGTTATGGTGTCCACCTTCCAGTTCCGACATCATCGGTAAACAATTTCAAAATCTAGGAGAGGAGGATGGCGGGAAACAAGATAAAGATGAGGCTGAATGGAGAAACAGAGGTGAAAAGAGGAAATAGAAGGCAAAGAGGAGGTTTTCAGGATGACGTGGACAAAAAGAGGAAGAGGACGAGATGGTGGCGGTTGCGGGGGTGAATGGACCTACCTTCTTGCCACTGGCCATGAAACTCCTCAAATCTGCCTTGCTGCATCGAGCAGCCACACTATCCGTGCTATAGGCCGAACAGTGTTGAGCCCGGCCAACCTTGGCACACAGCAGGCACTGGGAGGCTGTGGGAGCCAAACTGCGCCGTATGAACATTTTCGTGAACAGTGCACTCTGGCGCCTTTTTGCCTGCAACACTGTCCAATGGACTTGCTTCCCAGGCCGTCAATTTTCGAAGATCAGCGGCCAGGGAGGAGGACTGAAAAAAAAGAGGGCTGGTAGGTGTAGACCCCTACATACATACGTGCTTATCTTTCTGGCAGGTGGCCCAATCCAATTGAGGACCCGCCCACACCCGCCTGCTTGTTTTTTAATCTATGGAAGGCCACCCACAACTGGCCCATTTTTTCCACTAGAACTGCCTCCCAACCCGGAGCAGGGTCATCCTCCCATCGTCTGGCCACACCTGGTCAGGTGGGACATGGGGCTTGCCAGACCTGCAGGTTCTGATCTGACCGCAATCACGTCCCGAGCTCAGTGAAAAAGTCCTGCTGGGAGTACGCCCTGAAGTAAGGTGGCAATAAGGCAACTGAAACTCCTTGCCTGGTATTTGTGCTTCCTCCCTGTGCACGGACTATAGAACCCAATAAGGGAGAAGTGGGTCTTGTGTGACGCTGTCCCACGAGACCCATTTCCTGCTTGGGCCCACAGTCATGTGGTTTGTTTTTTTTGTCGTTTGTTTTTGTTGGCCGTGTGCATGCGTCTTTTTTTTGTGTGGGAGACATTGTAATATTTATTGAGCTTGAAAGAACAGAGGCCGAGGAACCTCACAAACAACCCGGAGTTACTGGGGGCAATACCCAGCTTAGGCTATTGCTGGAAACTGGGTCCAGCGTCCCATGTCTCTCTGATACTCGAATCTCCCCAAAATAGCCCTGATGCTCAAACAAGGAAAAAAAAAAAAAACGTCAATTCGAATTATGTCTAAGATTCCAGATCTACTACCGGACCCGTCAGACAAGCTGATAACCGTGGGGAGCCTGGGTTACCACGATGAGGTTTCACATCTTGCAAACCTCTGTTAGATACAGCCATCTGGCAGACTCCCTACATCTGAATGGGTACAACCCAAGGTTGCTCTCTTTTAGTCTAAGATCTAATCCGACGTGCCCCCGTAGATCAGCAATGTCCCCACAACCGCTAGAAGGTCTCCCATGACCTTCAGAAGTTTCACTGCCTACTACGAACGACCTTTGACATACAAAACTTAAAAGAAACCAATACTAAAGCAAAAGGCGCGCAACAAAATGGTACACTTGAAGCAAAGTGCAACATGCAGGCTAGAACTAGTAATCCATAGAAGACATATACAAATCTGCGAAGAAGGAAGAGCAGACCAATAGCAAGAATGATAATACCAAGACCAGGCGCGTCAGGCCAGCTTATAGCTGTGAGGAGCCTGGCTTGCCATGGCTAGGTTTCCCACCTTGCATCCTTGGACCTCTACACGTACAGCCATTTGCTGGGCTCCTTTGATCTCAATGGGTATGGAAGCTTCGGCACTACCAAGCTGGGATACAGACTCAGGTGCAGGTTGGTGGAGGTGGCAGACACAATCAAGTGTATGTGGAAGGATGATATGGGACTCAACATGACGGGACGAATTGCCGACCCCTGGAAGGTGGTGCTGGTGATATCGAATACGCGAGCGAGGATATGGAGTAGCTACTCACATTCCTCGCCTTGCCGGTTAACTAATGGCTGAACGAGCGTAGAAGCCCGGACCACAGATTTTACCTTAACGAACTCTGTGCCCTGTGCGAAGCCGGAGGGGTGGAAGATATCCGGCATTGCTTCATCGACTGCCCAAAGGCCCATCAGATCTGGGATAGGGTGCCAACCTTGTGCTCCATGACGACGGATATGCCATTCTCGACCATAGGGCCGTCCATCTTCTTGCCGACTGCCCCACCACTGCGGAAAGCCTTCCAGCATCGGTTCTTTCAAAGAGTCAGACCCCTGGCATTGTGGGCAATCTGGAAAAGGTGCTGCCAAGAAATGATAGACCAGAGGCTGAGCTGCGGAATACTTGTTGGATTGGAGAAGGGTGAGGAGGGACATGGACCGCAACCCCGACAAGGCACACGAGATTCTGGACCAGTTCGCTCTGCATCGCTTGGGAGCAGGCAGGATTGGTAGAATAGAGAGCGGCGGATGCGCTTCACCTGGCGTCACCCAAGGAACACGGGAGGAGGCAGACGAAGGGCAGGGAGAAGCCTCCGTACACAGCCGATCCTCTGACACCTGTGGACTGACATCCGACTGGCACAAGTAGCAATAACATCAGGGGCCCCAGGGGACTCCCTGCTATCACCACATAGAAAAACTGAGAGCACAGGATGCCCCGTTCGTGAAGGGGCATAGCTGAAGCCGGGTAACGCTGGACCCAGTTTCCAACAGGTGCCACGCGCCACCAGTAGAATGGAGCAACTGGTCCCAGGTCTGCTAGAAGGGGGGGGCGCTCGTATCACCCTCCCTAGCAGCACTAATTTTCTCTGTATCGTTCCAATTTTAACTGATGTCCCGAAGGACACATCATTGTGTTTCTAAAAGGGACAAACAACGCTTTCGTATTGCATACATGACTAATTGGTCCTGACCGCACAGGGAATGCTAGTGATGATTGAAGGTTGCAGCATGGCTAGATCAGTTTTGAGTCCGGCCCAGACATGTCAGGTCTACCCAATTGTTCCAAATCCTTGCCATGGCAGCAAGTGTAACTCTGGTGTTTCTGCTGCTTTCTTTTCTTTTTACGTTGAAACAGGTCGTTATGGTCCTGGCTTCGTGTCCATTCTGAGGGTCATCAGTGTAACAGCGGCAACTTGTTTGAATTACATATGATGACAAAATCACGCTTCCATCCATCAAGGTCGGAGGACCCCTGAACGGCAGTGGTTACTCCTTAATAATCCTTATCAAGGAGGATTAGCTACTTTGTCTTCTGGGCATGTTGCCATGCATGCATTGCGTGTTCCCTGCGGACCATTCACCTGGATGTCAACCCCTTCAGCCTTTCCTGATTAACATCCGTCGCTTGTTTGTTTTTTGAAAGTGAAGATTGCTTTTTTTTCTTTCCTTTACGAATGCTGAAACACTGGTTTCCATGGGTTGTCGTGTTTGGTAGTGCAGGTGAAGGCGGCATATCGTGCATTGGCAGCCGCTCATCACCCGGATAGAAATCTAGGTGGAGAACAGGCACTCGCAGAAGAGAGATTTAAACGGGTAAGCTCAGAGTTCGAATCCAGAAGGAAGTCGACGAAGGAAATTAAACAAAACAAGAGACCTGCTCCTCCTCCTCCCCCTTGCTCCTTACTGTTGTCTGCCACATCCTCTCCGTCCCGCTCCTGCATCGGCCTCCTCTTCGGCCATCTCCCCCTCCACTGCGTGCTCCTCCTGCATGTTTTTTTTTTTGTTTTTTTTTTTTTTTTTTTTTTTTTTTTTTTTTTTTCCCGTGCTGTGTACTTCTACTCAGGCCCCAGAATATGTGGGGCGGACCGTACTTTGTGGTTGGGATGCTACTAACAGGCACACTCCCACTGCGAAAAGGGGAAAACAGAAACAGCACGGCCCCAAGCCCCGGCTTCCCCCCCCCCTCCCCCCCTGAAAAAAAAAGTGCTGGCTGAAGATACGCCACCGCATTTTGCTGAGTAGTGGAGAGAGGCCCTACGTTCTCGTCCCTTCTTTGTATCCAAATCCTAGGCCGTTTTTCCGGGCGCCCAGGCACCCAACTTCTGCCCGGGTACACGCCCGGGTGCCCGGCCGGGCATGACCCCCGGGCAGGGTTCCGGGCAGCCCCAGCGTAAAACAAAAAAAAAAATACGAAAAAAAAGTATGTTGTGTAGAATTGAAATGCAAACGACTTTTGACTGAGGGTCACATTATAATTCCTCACAGAATCGGCGATAAAAAAGAAAATAACCTATGTTGCCAGCTGTCCGATGGGGAGACGTCTCCCCCGTGCGTCTCTGGGAGACGGTCAGGGGGGAGTTGTCCGGAAAATAGGACAACTGTTTTTTTGCCAAAAAAAAAACGGTGGGGGTCTGCGCACCACTAGGGGACCCCCCCAAAAAAAATTCTGGCTGTTCTGAGCAAAAACGAAAAAAAAATTCAGATACGGTGGGGGAGGTGTGATGGTGTGTGGATAGAATGTGTGTGTGTGTGGATGCCACTGTCACTACAGCTGCTGCATCTGCCGCAGTGGATGGTTCACTGCATATGCAGCAGTTGCTGACTGCACACACACACACACACACACACACACACATTTTATCCACACACAAACACTACGAGTGACATGCACGTGAGCACACCTACACAGAGTCACACACACACACTATCTACTCGCACACACACACACACACACTGCCTGCACACACACATGCACTGTGTACACACACAGATGCACTGTCTACACACGCCAACACACACCGACACCCACCCACACACACACTCACACTCACACTGGGAAGGAAACAGTATCAAGGCCAAGGCAAAAGTTGTTCATTTTATTTTTCTGTATAACATAGTTTTATTTTTATTTTAAATTTCAAATTTTATAAAGAATTTCGTTTTATTTTTTATTTTAAATTTTATTAAGAATTTCGATGTAACCCCAAGGCAAAAGTTGTTCAGTTTATTTTTCTGCATAACATAGTTTTTTTTGGGAATTTTTGGAGGGTTTTTTTTTTTTTTTTTTTTTTTTTGGCCATTCGGGCTCCGGACAGACTGCCTGGGGAGGACGTCCGACCAGTTGTCCGATCGGACAACCCCGGACGGTCAGGTGGGTCCCGGACGTCCGATCTGGTAAAAAGAATCACGCAAAGTCAACCCCCTTTAGACCCCTTTAGCCCCTTAAAACCAATTTATACCCCCCTCCCCCGCCCTTGGCAGCCAACTGGCAAAAAATGAAATGAGCCCGGATATGGGGTCCTCTGGGAGAGCGCAGAAAACCCAAAAAAAAATAAAAGTAAAAAAAAGTAAAAAAACTCTTTTTTTTTTCTTTTTTTTTTGCACGCCCGGGTACCCCGAGCGTCAGACCCCCCCGGGTGCCCGGCCGGGCAGGACTGGCCGGACGTGAGAATCTTCCTAGTCCAAATCGACATATTAAGGGTGTCGCTCCACTACTCTCCAAATGTGCAAATTGAGAATGAATATTGTGCTAGAACATGGAAAGATACACTTCCGTATTTTTTGTCTTTTGTGCATGTCGTGAGTCGTGGAGCGGGGCCCTATGTATGCATATTCGAACAAATGGGTCTCGTGGCACCAGACCCTGTTCTAGCGTAGGGTTCATTTGTGTTTGATTGGTAGTGCGACCACAAAAAAATGCCAAAAAACCAACGTCGAACAAATGGGTCTCATGGCACCAGACCCTGTTCTAGCGTAGGGTTCATTTGCGTTTGATTGGTAGTGCGACCACAAAAAAATGCCAAAAAACCAACGGTCTGTTCCAGCGTAAGATTCATTCCGTTTGATAAGTAGTGCGACCACAAAACGCCCAGAAAAAAACATGAATTTACACCTGATCTAGTGCAATATTCATTCGCATTTGATTGGTAGTGTGACCACAAAACGGCCAAAAAAAACAAACGAATCTACCCCTGTTCTAGTCCAAGATTCATTCATGTTTGATCAGTGCGACAACAAAACGACCAAAAAAGAAAAAAGTTCAAAAAAAATCTATACCAGGTATACCCACACACGTTGGCACTGTTCTGGTCGTCTAATGCGAGCACAGAACGACCAAAAAAAACAAACGAATCTACCCCTGTTCTAGGGCAAGATTCATTCACGTTTGATTAGTGCAACCACAAAACGACTAAAAAAGAAAAAAATGAATCTTCACCCACACACGTTGGCACTGTTCTCGGTGACCACAAAACGACAAAAAAATCAACAAATCTTCACCCACACACGGTGGCACTGTTCTGGATGTATCGTGGCTGTGCCGCCCAAACCCGACTGTGTACTTGTATTCGAACATACGTGTTCGGACAGGCCCAGCCCAAAAAAGGCTGAGCGGTCCACCCAACCTGCCTGGTGTTGGGCCCAGGGAAAGTCCCCCGCTAGGGCCACTATTCCCTTTAGGAAGAAAAAAAAAAGGGAAAACATGTGAAAAGTTGAAAACGGTGGAACTGGGCAGAAGTCTCACTAAAGGAACAAAGATGGAGGAGGGGGTAGAGGAGGAATCGGTATCAGCTGGGGCTCAGGCTGGTGAGGTCGAAAAGGTGGATAAGGGGGCGCTGAAAAGCAAAGGGGAAGCCTGGGGCAAAGAGGCAACACAGAAAGATGAAGGAGAGGAGGCGAATGAAAGTGTGAAAAGGGAGAGGGATGAAGATGAGGGTCTGCCAGGATTGGGGCAGGATGAGATAGGACAGGCTGAACAGGGAGGCGAGCAGAGGACAATTTCGAAGAGTCGGGTACGCAACAGCAACTGGATAGGCCGGTGTATGAAATGCCAATAATAGCACAACAGGTTAGGAGGGAGTGTCGCTGATAAGATACTGGTGCAGACAGAAACAGGTGACTGCTGGTCCCCTGAAGAGCTCTTCATCGGCTGAGTGCTTCCCGGTTCCAACCTTCTCTTCAACCAGAGCTGAATTGAAAAGTGAAAGGCATGTAAGCCAGGCGGAATCGGGACAGCAGACGCTACCAGAGACCTCACGGGCAAGTCTAAAGAAAATAAGGGAAAGACAACGATCGCCGCTAGGGAGCAAGGGGTATGGACCAAGGTATTGGTTGAGGGGGAAAGGAAGAAGGGATGAGTCGCCATTGCCATCGGCCTCCGTCCCTCCTAGAGAGGCTAGCTTTGGACTCCCGGTTGAGGGAATGAAGACACAGACAAGCAGTCAAGAGGAGGAGGATTCGTTAGAGACCTGGGCAATGGAGACATCGGATAGCCCGGGGGAAGACGAACAATCAGTTCACCAGGCCATGGGGCAGGAGGAGCAAGACATGCCGTCAGAAGAGGGACAACACACACAGCAGGACCAGGGTCCGGAAGCAAGGGCCGCAGTAGCTGAGTCAACAAGTCCAGAGAATCGGAGCCTGCAGGAGCAAGAGAGTCAGTAGCGACAGGATCCGGGAAACCAGCTGGCTGGGCTGGCATGGCAGGAGCGAGTGGGGGCTACGTTGAATGACATTATGAAGGCAGGGGAAGGCTATGTTTACCCGATAGTCCTCTGGCAGGCATCGGAGGAAATCAAATTGCTCCTGGAGGGGGCAACGGAGGTGCCAATTTTCGGAGTGACTAGTAACAGCAGGTGTTGAAGAAAGTTGCTGGATGGCTGGGTCCGAGGTATGAAGTGGTGTCGTTGCCTCAGATATCGGCATCGCGATTTGTTAGACAGACAGTGGATGGGGAGGAATACATAATTTTCATGTACTTTGTGGAGGCCATTCCCAGGAAGCCAGGATCTCCGAGGCTGGGAGTAAACAGCATGCACTGGATACGGTTTGCTGAGGCCCTTGGTCCTACGGCCTGTTCTCATGATTATCATGTGCTGCATGCGATCTCCCTGGCCGTACTTATTAGCGTTACTGCGCACCTGGTACGGGAGGAACAAGTGGGGGGGGAGCAGTTCCAAAAAGGAACGGGCATATGGGATCGGGGGGAGTGATGGGGGTGCAGTAGGGTGGGGCGGGATGTAGGATGTATATTATCTTGTATGGGTGTCGCTTGGATGAAGACACCCCCCCAGCAATCAATAGAGGGGGTTAGGAGTCTAGGTAAGTTCGGGAGTAGAATGTGAAGGTTGGTAGGTATAGAAGGGCTAGAAGGGCGGAGAAGAATAGGGTGGGTGTTAGATTGGAAGAGATTAGGATGGGAATAGGAAGCAAGACTGAAACTGCTGACTTGGAACGTGAGAGGCCTGGGGGCTAAGTTGCTGCTACCCAAGAGAAGGGAGCTGGTGAAAAAAGTCAAAGCAGAGCAAATTGATGTGGTGTGTCTGCAAGAGACTAAGCTGAGGCCAGGACAGTAGAGCTGATGTTATGGTGGGAGGGCCATCAGATATGGGCCATGGCACAAAGCACGCGAGGCGGGGTGTGTATTCTCGTCTCCCCACATTTTGGGGGAGAAGTGTCAGATTGGTACTATGATTCTAGGGGTCGGTGGGCCTGGGTGCTGCTGAATTCGGGGGAAGGAACCTGGGGGGTGGTTATAGTATATGGGCCAACAGAGGTAGGCACACGGTGCCGGATGTGGGAACGACTGCAAACGC